CACATCAGACACATAGGGATTCCTTACATTGTCCCATCCATCAAACGCCCAGAGACCTGCATACAGAGCTACAGCCCAGGAACTGGCGCTCGTTTTTGTCCCTTCAAACCAATTCCCATGCTTCCAATCCTGATTCGGTTGTCCATCATGGCTGAAACCTGTCGCCGCAACTATGATCCCGGTGATAGTTATTGCCAGCAGTGCAATGAACTTCAGAAACATAAACATATCTCCTACTCTCGTCCCAAGCCTCGTCGAAGTACAACTAATTGCAGTTGCGATAATCAAGCCCAGCACAGCCATGCTCTTGTTGATCCAAGGATTGACATTCTCCGCCTCTGCTCCAATAGCTGCTCGTACCAAATACTCTCCCATTATGATTGTAATTATGGCCGTCGACCCGGGCTTCAGCACTGTGACCGCACACCATGTGTATAGGAACCCGAACAGCTCTCCAAATATCTTAGACAGGTAGACCTGTGCCCCGCCATTCAAAGGTATAGCTCCTCCCAGCTCTGCAAAACTGGATCCACCAGTCCAGGCCAGAAATCCAGCTATTATCCAAACGATCAAAGAAGCCCCAGGAGATCCAGCATTAATGTTGACTTGACTCGGGGACGAGAAGATCCCAGACCCAATGATCAAGCCCACTACCAACGACAGCCCATTCAAATATGTTAACGTCTTGTGCTTCTCCAGCGACCCTCCTCCCATCCCCGTCTGCTCGCTCGAGGCGCCGATTGGCGCATAGCCATTTCCTGTCGTTGAGGATAAGGGGAAGATTGTCGAGGTGAAGTCGAAGGCTGAGGAGATAGAGTAGGATCGATTCGCATGCCCTCGCGCACCTGCCGCAGGATTTCTGGCATCGAGAGGGTCGTCCCCTTCTAGTGATAGTTTTCGAGACGAGGAGATGCCGGCAGTCGAGGATGAGTCTGTCGATGTTCGAGCGCCGGGTTCGCTGGAGGCCAGACTGCCGAGCTCTAACGAGTCTCGAGGATCGGGTGGTTGCAGATTCGTATAAGATGTTGACATGTTCTCTGTGGTACTCTCCTTGGCCTCCGCATGCTTCGGTAGGAGTTGAGTGGACGGCATGGAATGTTGGTTTTGATATTGATGTGGATTAGCGTGTCGGTACTTCTAGGTCATAGCGTGTCGTGAAATCGTGATATACAATGCAGGCGATTTATACCCAGGAAGTGTGAGAACTTGAAATAACAAATAGAATAGACTTTGACAAGAAGATTAAGATGAATAGAAGACGTGGTTATGCTTGCAGCGGTGGAATCGAGTCTGACCCTTTGTCTTGCTCGTGGTCTTGGCACGCGTACAGCATGTCTCGGATTTCGAAAGCTCGGACCCGAGAAAATGTTGGAGCTTCGAAGCTCGTGTGATTGTCGAACATTGACAAACGGAACACCAACATCAACACCACACACAATGAATTTTTGACGGTAGGACGCCATGTTGCCACGAGACAATGCAGCGTGCCATTTGCAAACATGCAGGGAGAGGAATTGCTCAATATGCGCCAATTCGCGGAGGTAGCATTCAATTCCTACGTTCTGCCCATACCAAACGACAGGACGAATCCAATGTCCCTTCAAACCGAGGATATCTTACCAGCCTGTATTCGATCGACCAATACTACCGAATAAAAGAGAGTCAACGTCGACTAGAGCAGGAAAAAAATACAACATGGCCCTGGTCAATGTTCTACGGCAAGGGGGAAGGGAAGCAGCCCAAGGAGAAGAAGTACATTTTGCCCATGTTCCCATACCCGTCAGGAGATCTCCATCTGGGCCACCTGCGAGTTTATACCATATCCGATGTTCTGGCACGATTCCATCGAATGCAAGGCTATGATGTTATGCATCCAATTGGGTGGGATGCCTTTGGTTTACCAGCAGAGAATGCTGCCATCGAGCGCGGTATTGACCCTGCAACATGGACAAAGCAGAATATCAAGAGGATGAAGTCGCAGTTGGAGAAGATGAATGGCAAATGGGACTGGGACAAGGTGGGAACAATGGCCAGAAGAGTGGGAACAAGACTAACAGAATGTAGGAGTTTGCTACGAGCGATCCGAGCTTCTACAAGCATACTCAGCAGCTATTCCTTCTCCTCCACAAAGCCGGGCTGGCATACCAGGCAGAATCACTGGTGAACTATGATCCTGTCGATAAGACAGTTCTCGCGAACGAACAGGTGGATGCGCACGGTTGCTCGTGGAGGTCTGGAGCCAAGGTGGAGCAGAAAATGCTGAAGCAATGGTTCTTCAAGATCACACACTTCCGACAAGAGCTCCTGGATGGCATCAAAGAATTGGAGAAGGGAGGCGCCTGGCCGGAAAGGGTTCTGGCTATGCAGAAGAATTGGCTTGGGAAATCAACGGGAGCGAAGATCAAATTCCCTGTCGTTGCGTACGACCAGCAGACACACTCGGATATTGAAGTCTTCACAACGAGACCAGATACGATATTTGGAGTCCAGTATGTTGCTCTAGCATCAACTCACCCAATTGTCCAGAGCTTGGCAAAGACAGACGTCGAATTGCAAGCTTTTCTGGACACCATTCCTGCACTCCCAGCCGATTCGAAGGTCGGATATCTTCTTCCTCATGTTCGAGCTCTGAATCCTCTGGCATACGAAAACTCTACACCAGATCCTACGAAAGCGTCTCTACCCATCTACGTTACACCCTACGTGCTTGGAGATTATGGAGATGGTGCAGTGATGGGCGTTCCTGGTCACGACACTCGTGATCATGCCTTCTGGAAACACAACCGTTACGATGACCCCGTGCGCATGGTCATTTCACAGTCTCCAGATGAATCTACCAGTGCCTTGAAGAATGCACCGTACGTTCACCACGGCCATCTTACAAAGCACAGCGGCCCCTATGCTGGTCTGACCACTGCAAAGGCGACGAAGAAGATCGTTGCTCTACTTGAGGAAAAGGGGTTAGGATCTGCTGCTGAGACCTGGCGTCTTCGAGACTGGTTGGTCAGTCGACAGAGATACTGGGGGGCGCCAATTCCGATTATTCATTGCGACAGCTGTGGACCTGTGCCAGTACCCGAAGATCAGCTTCCTGTCAAACTCCCTCCCGTCCAGGGCCATTGGGGCAACGGCAAGGCTGGCAATCCTCTGGACCATGCCCACGACTGGGTGAACACAAAGTGCCCGAAATGTGGGGGAGCAGCCAAACGAGATACCGATACTATGGACACTTTCGTGGACTCGAGCTGGTATTTCATGCGTTTCCCTGACGCACACAACAAGGAATTCCTGTTCTCGCCAGAGGTCGCAAATGCAAATTTGCCTGTGGATATCTACATAGGAGGAGTCGAGCATGCCATCTTGCATCTCTTGTATGCTCGGTTCGTCTCCAAATTCCTGAGCACAACGCCATACTGGCCAGAAGGATCCAAATTTGCTGGAGAGCCATTCAAGAAGATCTTGACTCAAGGCATGGTCCATGGGAAGACGTACTCGGATCCTGCCAACGGTCGTTTCTTGAAGCCGGACGAGGTTGATTTGAGCAATGCTTCACAACCAAAGGTCGTCAGGACAGGCAAGAACGCCAACGTCAGCTTCGAGAAAATGTCAAAGTCGAAATACAACGGTGTCGACCCAGGAACATGTATGGAGAAATATGGTGTAGATGCCACCAGAGCCCACATTCTGTTCCAGGCACCTGTCAGCGAGGTGCTGGAGTGGGACGAAGCCAAAATAGCAGGCGTTACGCGATGGCTCAATCGGCTCACCGATTTCATACACAAGAACGTCGATACACAGATGGGGCACTGGGGCTCCATGGAACAGTCAAAACCCTTTAACGCCAAGTCATATTTTCTACAGGCATCCCAAATGATCGAAGGGCTGGAGAATGGTAACTACGCGGCGCTTGATAACGAATCGGTTGAGAAAGCACGAAAGACATCGCGAAATGTCCAGGAGTTCAAGCAGAACGTCAAAAAACTAAGTGGCCCAATAGCTCTAAAGGTTAAGAAAGAACTAGAGCAGAAGTTAGAAGCAGAGAAGGCCTTGTGGCGAACTGTACAAGCCACAATCACCTCTGTCACGGAGTCCTACAATACGACTCATTCTTTGAACACAGTGATCTCGGATTTGATGTCCTTGACAAACGCCATTGTTGATCAGGAGACAATCCAACATGAAGGTTTCACGCTCCTCAAAATCAACCCTCAACTGGTTCATCATGCTGTTATGACCTTGCTCAAGCTGATGGCGCCAATCACCCCAGCGGTCGCCGAATACAATTGGGAGAATGTTCATCTCCAACCAACGAACATCCCCAACTACTACGTCAATCTAGCTATAGTGAGGTTCCTGAACTGGCTTGCTCGAATAAGGGGCAGGCCTTCAATGTACGCAATGTTCTTCCAACGAGACAGAGTCGGTAGCATTTTCGATCAACCTTTCCCAACAACAGATGGAACGTATGAGATGCTAAGTCCGTCGACTCAGAAATGCGCCATTCAAATCAATGGAAAGCTGAGGGTAGCTGTTGAGATCCCGAAGCCGCCAGAGGAGCTTACCGGGTATGATCTTGAAGGCTGGTTGAGGAAAGAGATTCTGAAGACGGAGGAAGGGAAAGAGAAGTTAATGGGAGAACCGAAGGGAGGAAGACCGACGGTCGATATCAGGAAGTCGAAGCGAGCGATTGTTGTAAAGCGTGGGACGACGGTGAACTTTATTGTGTAGATGGTTGGATTGGAATGTATTATACCCTACTCTGCTGTATCAAACTTCTCGGAACGAGATGAACCTTTCATCTCTTCCCACTCCGTTCACTCTAAGGCTTCTCCTCGGTAAACCCTCGCCAAAAGGGCGAGTGCCTCCACTTCTCGGCACACAAAATGACTGTCCAAGTGGACAAAAAAAGAACGAAAAAAAGTCTGGAATCTTACTACTTCATCTCCGGCTTCCTCCTTCCTTCTATCAAAGCCTCAAGAAACAAAAAAGATTTGACTTGGTGGTCCCAACGAGGGTTGAACTCGCGACCTTGGTGTTATTAGCACCACGCTCTAACCAACTGAGCTATGGGACCTGATTGGCTGGTTTGATGGGAAAGCAATTCTTATTTAATTATATCAAAGGATGTTTAGAGCGTGGAGCGGAGGGTAAAAGTCTGAGTCACAATTTTCTCGACGTCCTAGTTCGCTTGGGACTTTCACCCCACATCTCTGACTCAACCACACAGCATCAGTCAGTTTGTGGAAGTCACTCGCAGATGAGCATGATGTTTCCAAGCGGAAGAAAAAGTTCAGATGTAATGTACAATATTATTAGGTATCTCAAAGCATCGTGGTATCATCATATATATACAGGTCCATGTTTTCCTACCCGCTAACCCCGCCATCATCACCCAACAAACAAATGGAATGCTCATCCAACCTCAAGGCTCTCCTTCCCAACTTAAAAGTTGGCCGTAGGATTAGCATTGTACGGCTGATGAGTCCTCGCATACCCATCATGCGGAACATGCGTCGTAGTCGTCGTCTGATACCCATTCGTTGCACCCGGCACAACACCACCCGTCTGGTTTCCATACGGAGTGTTTCCGTACTTATTATACGACGCCTCGTTTCCAACAGCCGTAGCATCAGTAGCATAGCTCGTTCTGACATCGGCAGGTGTTGCGTGTGTTGGGAGAGCATCGGGGTTCTTCTCAACATCCATAGGGCGATTGTTCTTCGGCTTTCGCTGCCAGAACTTGCGCTTGGGTGAGCCAGCTGTGTATCCGTTATTGGGGGAGGGACCAAATGCGCGTTCCTTCTTGCGGTGGCGGATGAGGCCCAGTTCGGCGAAGATGGAGAGGAAGAAGAAGATACTGTATTCACTATTAGCATCACGTTCAATGTCCAAAAGAGCGAGGGAACTTACAGTCCAACAATCGCAACAGCGAAACAAGCCTTCTCCAGCTGGCATGCGGTGTACAGGCTCGGGAGACGAGTGAACCCACTACTTCCCTGCGCAACAGTGTTGCTGGTGTCCGTACTTCCAGATCCGAAAGGTGTGTTGACATTTCCTCTGCAGCTATGTGCTCCTCCTCTCGTGGCCCAAGCGACGTAGATAAAAGCTCCAGTGAAAGCAAGATCCAACAGCATGCCAATCACGGAGAAGAAAGCGAAGCCTCCGAGGCAGCAAACAAGCAGCAAAGCGAAGATGGTGTACAAAACCGCTGCTCCGGAAATACCTTCCACGGCTTTGATGTAGGTAGCGATATTGAGGTCATGGTTGTGAAGCGTTGCGAGGAAGTAGGAGAAGATTCCCAAAATGATAGCTGCGCAGCAGAACTCGATGATTCGCAAGAACCACGAGACGGATTTAAGTGCAACACCACCGAACGCCATCTTGTCTTATTTCGTTGATGAATTGTTTGGTGGTAAAGTGCTGAGTGAGAAACTTGAAACTGAAAATCTGGGGACGAAGGCAATACGAGGGATGATATATGATTGTGGGACATCACTCGGCGAGCAGCATAGCCAAGCACATGTCATCACCCACACACCAGAAACAGGGTTATTAGCTCCATTCCATCGAATCGAAACCACAGAAGAAACTTGGGACAACTGCAAACGAGAAATTCGGGTCCTGGTCCACCAACCGGCTACCCGCAGTAATCGAGGGGCATTTCATCATGGTTTCTCCACAGGAACCCAGATTTTCGACGGGAGGAAGCTCTAGCTTGCGATCCGTCTCCAATCCACGAATCTAGTCATGGAAAAGCGAAAATCTTATTCGATGAAATGGAGGTCTAGTTGTGGTCTGGTGGGTTGAAGTTTGAGACTGCCGAGTATCAAAAAGCCAGGGCTTTCGTCATGCATCGAAGCCACGATCGGAAAAGGACCCTGCTTCTCGAGGGGTGGTCTACTTTACGTCACTGTGGCTGCGACAGTGGCCAATTAAACGCCATTGAAAGGATGATCTTCAGCGTTGCGGTTGTGGCTGTGGTCTGGGATGTTCTGGTTTAGCCACTGACACGTGCGTGCGACTTTAGGCTTGCGACGATTTGAGTTTCTTCATCATAGCTTTCAGCGGTCTGGAAGTTCTCTAGTTGAAGAGAAGCAGACTTTTGTAGTTGTTAAAGTTTCAGCGTGGGAGATCTTTGATTCTGTACATTTAGTTGAAGAAAATCCTTTGAATTGATTTTTGCGATTTTGTCTATCTTCTATTGCTGTCTATCATGCTTGCTGGAATGCGACAGACGAAGCCGGATAATTATACACTATTGGTTGACACTACTACGTCTCGTTGCGCATTCATCCATCGTCTAGTTCTTGCCGGTACCGAATGCCTTGTGGAAGCCGGTCAAAGTAACGCGGTATCGGACCTTGTTGGTCTTGACCTTCTGAACTGCCTCGCTGCAGCCCTTCTCGGAGATGTCAATGGTCTCAATCATTGGCTTGACGCCTTTCTCGTAAATCTTGCTTGCCAAGTCCAACATCTCTAGCATTTCCTTCTTGCTGCCGATGTGAGATCCTCCCATCTTAGCACCGTTGGAAGCGAAAACTTGAGCTTTGAATTGAGGAAGTGGTTGATCAGGGAGACCGACGTTGTGGAACTCGCCATTGATGTTACACATGCTCATATACTGCGCGATGTCGAATTCGTTCGTCATGTCTGCTGCATTGAGGATGAAGTCGTACTCGAAAGCGTGGGGCTTTGCAAAGTTCTTGTCTCCGGAAGAGACGAAGTGGTCAGCACCAAGTTGAAGTGCAGTATCTTTCTTGTTCGGGCTGTGTGAAATGGCGGTGACTTCAGCTCCCATAGCCTTGGCCCAGATGAGTGCGAAATGTCCGAGGCCACCAATTCCAACAATTGCGACCTTCTTGCCTGGTCCGACACCTGCACGCTTCAAGGGAGAGTAGACAGTCAGACCAGCGCACATCATTGGCGCAACGATTTCTGAGGGTAGATTGTCTGGAATTGGGAAGACGAATTGTTCGTGAACACGGGAGTGTGAGGAGTAGCCGCCTTGTGAGAATATCTGGTTTCCCTTGCTATCCTTCATAGGCTTTTGGTCGTCTATTTTGACACTTGGGTTGCCGCCGTTGATGTTGTATGGGGCCATGTAGGTATCTGGCTGAATCAGCAGGGCGTTGCGAAATTGACAAGTTGTTACGAACCAACCATGTGGGGGCAATAGTTCTCGTTGTTGCTTTTGCACATTCTGCACTGCATGCAAGATTGCACCTGAGCACCGACACCAACGCGTTGACCTGGCTTGAAGCTCTTGACTTTCGATCCTACTCGCAGAACTTTGCCAATAATTTCATGTCCAACGCAGATAGGACTTGTAGCCAACTCTCCCCATCCTCCAGTGATTGTGTGAACATCGGAGCCGCAGACACCGCAGCATTCGTTCTCGATATCGACATCGTAGTCCTCGAAGTTCTTGGGAGTGAACTGGCAGATGGTCAGCAGATGCTAGGCAAGCTTCGGATGCTAGCCGTACCTTCTCCTTGGTGAATTCAGTCCACTTCTTGGTGTCGTGGATCATGAATCCTTCGAATTGCTCCGGGGCTGCCATATTGTCTGGATGACTGGTCTTGCGTTTCTTGGTTGGGGACTCTGGCTCTCCGTAATCGAGGGAATCGTGAGGGTAGTGTGCTATCTTGAACGGTGGTGGGGTTGATATTGTTTTGTAGATGAAGAGTGGAGACGCTGAGTCTTGGTTCCACTTCGGGTTCTGCGGAAGGAAGATGTCTAGGAGGAAGGTCCGAAAGTGATCTCACTGTTCCTTCCTCAAAATGTCACCAATGATGATACCCTACCATATTGCTGAAATGACATTCCAAAGATTCACCTCCATCGCGGATTCGTCCAATTGTCGTTCTCATGTTGTTCGCTAAACAAAGGGATGGTCGCTTAACTTGGTGACCTCACAAAAGACTTTCCCGATCGAAGTTTCCAGCTTGCCTTCGAGAACGTCGACACCGACAATTTCAGACGCCTAAGCTGGGCCTAGACAGCACCAAGTTTGATCGCGGGAAATTTTTTGATAGAATTCCGAGCAACACTCCACCTACCTTTACGAGCATGACATCAAGAAACCGTGACGTCGTCGGACTTTGAGAAACCACTCGCTTAAAAGGGGGCATGCAGACGACCTCGCAAAAGTTCTAGACACCATCGACCTCAAGTGCGGTGCCCAAGGTGAAAGGACCACCGGAGAAAGGCATCAGCTTTGAAGCCGAAATGAAACTTAAAAGAACCAACTTGACACAACGAAGCGATCTCAAAAGATGTTTTCTCCTCAAAGTCCCGACGAACCTGGAGACCCCACACCCCGAGTTTTCTTCGCGTTTTCCCCACGTTTCACTTTTCAACTTCTTTCGATCATGTCATGTCCTTGCCATGGCTGATGATGGTTGCATGATGAAAATAATGTTACAGTAAGAGGACGCCACTTTCAGGGCTGAAGAGACGCAACAAAAGACGGAATAACCCCGCACTTCTCAGTCGTATGATCGATGTTTGAGAGACCAGTAAGCAGTTCTGCAGGAAGTCTTGGGCTCATATACTTTCCAGACAGGTGAGGACCTTGATGGCCATTCCAAATTAGGCCCCTCATCCACGATCCGGCACCTCGTCGCCATCGCGATCACGGCATCCGGTGAACCGTCTCACGGACTCATCGGTGCAACGCAGCTTCCGTTCCAGTGACTCGAAAACTCCGATGTTTGCTAAATCATGGGAGGAAGTTGACTCGACCGCTCCGATATAATTTGGCCTTGACCGGCCGGGGCCTCCGGACGTCTTCAAGTCTTTTTAACGGCCGCAATCACATGAAGAAACTTCACGTGCAGCTGATCTTGGTGTAGAAACCACTCATGCACGTCCCTTTTGTCCGGTTGTGCTCGGTTATTGCCTCCCAACGCACGCAATTTTAGGAATGCCGTCAACAAAGCCGAGTCACGCTGACCCCACTAATCCAAGAAACCTTATGGAATGCACGACTCGCGTACACAATGGGAAGGAGTTTACCGGGACCAACAGCTCGGATGAGGTTCTTCGAGATCTCGAGCTTCGAGATTTGATATC